TACGTTTTATTTTACTGTTGCCCCCGTTACAACTATTACTACTGTCGCACTGTGTTACTATATTATGCAATCTTGTTACTCTTACTGTCACTATATCATTACTGCTACCATATTACTTCTCTAATAGTAATAAATTATTGGAAGCAAGTTATCTATTCAGGTGCAAGTCATCCACCATTTTCTTTATAAAAAACATTGCATTTTCCCTACGAGATAGAAAAAGAACTCTGGGCCTTTAAATGCAAAGACGACGAAATATTTGACCAGAGTGGTGATAGAAATTGCAGCTCCTTGCCCGGTTGCCCCCACCACACCAGAGCGCGGAGGCCACGCAAAGTAAACTTGACCACTTCCTCTCCTAACCCTCTCCACCCCTTCTCTTGCTCTCTCCAGCGCCGCCCCATTTCCGGGAAGCTCGCCCGTCTGCCATGGAAGACGCAGAAGAAAATTCCATGTAAGTTCCTCCGATTTTCTTCCATAACATTTCTCTCCTCGCAGCATATATAAGTACTTCCCGGCGCACTCCGCGCACAAAAGCTTGGCCGCTTTAGCTTCTCCCAATCGCGCCCTGATTTGGTGGTAAAAAAGGAGAGGAATTTGGGAGAGATGTATAGAGGAGCTGAAAATGCGTGTGCGCTTTGAAGGTTCGAGACCAGCCATGTCCTCGGCGCGCTGCTGGCCTCCTCGCCGCTGCTGGCGCGCGCCTGGGACCGGTGCGCGGCCGCCGCCGCGATGGGCCCCGCCTCCTCCGGGTTCGCGCACGGCGACGGCGGCGGGGACGGGGGGGCGGTGTACGTGGCCTTCTCCGGCCTGCAGGCCGCGCTGTCGGTTGCCCGCCCGGCGGTGGCGAGCGGCGCCGACGTCTTCGCGCCGGTCGTCCTCGGCGGCGACGCGGCCGGGGCGCGGGCCTTCCCGCAGCTGGCGGCCGCCGAGCCGGACGCAGCCGCCGCCAGGGAGCGTGTCGCCGTGCAGGCGCTGGCTCTGCGGTGCTTCTTGAAATTGTGCGGCTCCCCTGAGTTCCAGGTAAATTAGTCAATCAATTAGCTGAGAATTTCTCATCAATCAGCATTTAATCGGATGTTTATCTCCTGGATTTCTCAGCTTAATCATTTTGCCTTGTGATTGTTAGCGTGATGATCTGATATTTTTTTGGTTGTGGTCCTTTGGGCCAAGTTATGGTGATGTTGATGCGCCTGTCTTTAGTTGGTTGGTATGTCCTTGTGTTCACACTTAAAAGACTTCAGACTTCAGACATCAGTAGTAGATGAGATAATGTACTTGATTACATTATGACAGTGTCAATTATTTGAGATCTCACTTGATAATAACTTAACAGCTTAACTGGGACAATAAATTTAATAACACTGTGGCTTGTGGAATAATGAAACAAAAATAAAATCATTTGTTAGAAAGTAAACCAAATCTAAAGGTTGCCTATGAGTATTGCCGTTGACTTAACCTTTGTTTATTGTACTGCCGTCTGAAATTGATTTTGCGTTGCGCAAGACTAGTTCAGTGCATATCTTCTTCTTTCTGTGTGATTTTTTTAGGATCAATTTGGTGCCTCTGACATAGAGTTTGTAAGTTCATCGAAAAGATCCAACTCTATCAATTGGCGGCCAGCTTAAGATGCTGTGCGCCTGTCCACTTTATGTCACTGCAAACAAAAAGTACGGCACAGATGGCGCATTACACATCACCCAACCAAGTCTGAATGCTAGTATTGCTATTTTGTTGTCACTTGCATGCAAGGAATTTTTGTGTGACCCACGGGCAACAGATGAGGATGATTGAGATCAGCATGGAAGTATACCATACGGTTTTATTTGGAACGCATGAATTTGCTGGGAATTACTCCGTCCGTCCCATAATATAAGAGTGTTTTTTACACTAGTGACACTCTTATATTATGGGACGGAGGGAGTATGCAGTAATTTCACATGAAGTGGATGCAACAACTGCATTCCCATTAAAATCGGGGGAAATGTCCGTGTTCTGGATGAGGGCTGCATCTAGAGCATTTATGAAATTCAGTGGTCCATGAAGAATAATAGTGCATAGTTTACTGTCACCAGAGTACATGCTGATTTTGATGAGATATACTCTTCATGTGCGTTCCAGATGTAAACAACTTTTTTGGATTTGGTTATGGTTAGTATCATTTTACTCGGTCAGCAGGCATACGACCTTAATTGTTTCTTGACAAGTTCAGTAATGCTTCAAAGATCTTCACCTGTCTTCATCTGGTACTATAATTCTCGTATCTTTCTTGCTATTCTAAATAAAATTTGTGGCCTGTTTCTTATTTATGAATCAATCTGGATGTTTATATTCTCCTTGATCTTTCTCCTGAAAATAGTATTTGCTATTTGCAGTTATGCATCAGAATTTTTTTTCTAGCTCAGTATTTTAGTGTTTTGATGTTTTTTCACTGCTGAAAATGGTTTCTTACTCATTCAATACAGATGCTACTAAATCAGATCCGGGGCAAGGCGGTGGTGTTCACCGGCCACTCGCTCGGTGGAGCCATCGCCGCTCTTGCGGCGCTGCACTACCTTTGTATCTCATCGTTAAGCTCATCATGCAGTCCGTCTCCTGTGCTGTGTGTCACATTCGGGAGCCCACTGCTCGGCAACGAGGCCCTGTCCAGGGCCATCCTGCGAGAGCGGTGGGGCGGCAACTTCTGTAATGTCGTCTCACAGCACGACGTCGTCCCGAGGCTCCTCTTCTGCCCCCTAGACGCTGTCCCAGTGCGCGTCATCATTGGTATGCAGCTACAGCAATGGCCAGGACACACTCACAACACGGGTGTAATGACCATTCGTGTTGTGGATGCCGATCAGGAGGGGCTGCGTCAACTTATACAGGCGCATGTCCGCACGGTGGCCATGGAGCAGAAGCTCGTGGACCCAGAGTCGCGAGGTGGTAGCCCTTATCGTCCGTTCGGGGCCTACGTGTTGTGCTCGCCGGAAGGTGCAGTGTGTGTTGACAACTCAACAGCGGCAGTCCAGATGCTCTATGCCACATTTGCCGCTTGCTACGCGAGGGGCGACACATCATCCCTGGAGGCTGCACACTCTTGCTACGGCGATCTTGTGCTGAAAATGCCACAGAACTTGCTCCTCAAGCGGCGCCCGCATGGCATGGACGTGTTGGCATCCATGTCCAACTCCAACTACGATGCTGGCATCTCCCTAGCGATGGAGGCCTCCGGCATTGGCAGCGAGGCAACGGAGGCCACAACAGCGCGATACTGGCTGAAGGCTTCTAGGCGGGCGGGCCGCAGCCCAAGCCTGAACTGCGCGGGGCTCTCAACACGGCTGGGGCGGATCACTCCATGCCGGGCACAGATCGAGTGGTACAAGGCATCATTCGACGCCGACATAGGGTACTACGACGCATTCAAGCAACAGAGGTCACCAAAGAAGTTCGGCAAGGCCAACATTTATCGCCTCAAGCTGGGCCAGTTTTGGGATGGGGTCCTCACAATGCTTGACAACAGCCAGCTGCCGCACGACTTCCATCGCCGGGCCAAGTGGGTGAACGCCGCCCGGTTCTACCAGCTCCTCGTCGAGCCACTGGACATAGCAGACTATCACCGCAACAACCTCCACAAGACCAGAGGCGGCTACATCACCCATGGTCGTGACAGAAGGTATGTTCGAGCTGCAAACACCATTGTTCATACTTAGTCAGTGAGCTCACAGAGCATCCATACTCCACAGGTATGAGCTGTTTGACAAGTGGTGGAAGGAGAAGGGCGACTTCAGTGGCACTAGCACCGGCGACACGTCGGTCACAGCGACAGCAAGGAGCAAGTACGCTGGCCTGACTCAGGATCCATGCTTCTGGGCGAGGGTGGAGGAGGCGTGGGATCAGACTGAAAGTGCCCAGGCCGAGTACGACGTGGCGATGCTGGCAATGAAGCTTGGGAGGCTGCGGGAGTTCGAGCGGTACGCCAGGGAGCTGGTGGAGAGCAAGGAGGTGTCGATCGACGTCCTTGCGCCGCAATCGAGCTACACCCGCTGGGTGGAGGAGTGGAAGAAGCTCTTGCTCAGAGACGAAGCCAGAACAGCGTCGTTGTTTTAGTTCTGATGATGAATTAGCTGGAACGGCTCAAGAATTTTATTTTTATTTTCTTGCCCCTAGTTTTAGGTAACTTAGTATAACCCTCGTATAGGCGGTTGTAAATACGCATAGGCTTGCAGACCGCAGAGGCACTGCATTATGTTGTTGTATCAGTTCTTGCATCTTGCATCTTGATGCTGATTTATTCAGTTGTTTCTTCTTCAAGGCCAACGTTACTCTGCATTATTGAGCATCAGGGTGGTATAGTTTCCCTGTATGATCAGCGTCTGATATCAAACTTTACATGATACCGTGATACCGCGTCTCAAAATTCAAATTTGCAAGTTTTCAAAAATTCCAAAGAAAAAATGAATGTTAGCAACATGCGTCAACTTTTCAGAATTTTTAAGAACTGACATGCATTCTAGATCAAGCAAACTGTGTGAGACGAGTCTTTCGAATTGAAATGTGACATTTTTTGCAACGAATTCATGATGCTTCAGTATTCTAGATCATCAAAATCTTCAACGCCACCCACTCCACTGACGGAATCTCTCAGCCGCTACTGAATAGCTTAAGGGAAATTATAGGATATCTACTCAGGAAGAAGGATTTTTTTTAGTAAACGCTGTCAAAACTTACAGACTACAACATTCTGAATCAAATGACATTCTGAAGAACATATCTGATTGACAACGGAGCGATTCAGCGATCATCAGCCACTGCGCTGCTTGTAGTAAGCTAGCACTGATCTGCATATGTCAGGAACAAATTCATATCAGCCCCGAGGGAAATGCCATGTCGCCGGCGCCTCCTCGCCTTTGCACGATCCTCTAGGAAGCGGAGAGCGGACCGACTCATCACTCATGTCGAATATTGCGTACGAGCTCGGCGCGCTCGGCGCGTGCTTCCAGTACCACTGGCAATGGCCGTCATCCAGGAAGAAGATGCAGTTCCCCTTCAGATTGTACTGGGGCGCACAGACAGACTTGGAGCATCTCGGCCCAAGAAACAGCACCTGGTCGTCCCCCCACGCTCCTCCTCTCAACCCACTGCGACGACTGAAAGTCTGCCTCACACACCTCGAATTCAAACCGTACTGCCCTGATCTCGAACCCGGTGTGGTTGTCCTCAGGTGGCTTGCCATAGATTGTCCCACGGACCAGCAGCAGGGCGCCATGAGATTCAACCAGGTATTGGTCGAATACAAGGAGGCCACCCGGGAACTGCCTGAAGGGCCAGGGAGGACCCTTGATGATGCGCTCGATCCGGGAAATGAATAGGCTGCCATTGTCACTGTCCTCTTCGACATCGATAACGCAAAGGTTCCTCCATCCATCAACCGTGAGCAACTTGCCTCCATGGAGAATTATGTCAAAGGACCTGTCGTAGCCAAGCGCACTTACAAACCATAGGTTACCTCCCGGTCGGCACACCGCAAGAGTGCGGAGATCCCCGATGTCAACGATGGCAGCAACAAGGAGCACTGAGCACACGATTACCTTGTATATTGACATGGTTACATCCACGTCCAGACAAATGTAGCACATGCTGTGACCATTGATAACTTCGTCAGGCTCCTCGATGCGGTCGTACATGTCTAGGTCAGGGAGCTTCAAGGTGACCTTAGAGAAGGTGTCTACGAGGTAGCAGATGTCGTCACGTGCAAAGACAAGCCACTCACCGCAGGAACTGTGGAATTCGACACCGTTGGGGATCAGGAAGGATTCACTGTGGGGTAAGGTGAAGAAGGTTCCACCAGGGAGTATGAACCAGGGCAAAGGCGGGGGCAGCTGATGCTGCCTTGCGCAGGCGCGCCAATCGCGGCATACAGCTGCGAAACGGACACGGTCAGAGTGGGCATGGAGGCGGAGGAGGACCAGGGCAGCAAGCTCTGGTGGTATGTCAGACCATGATCGCTGGTACCTTGCCATGCTGCTGCCAGGAATCTGCTTCAGAACAACAAAGAGGGGGCTTTTAACAGGGAGTCATATTGTACCATTGCAAACTGAATCACAGTAATCTGGATTAGACAGTATAAAACATCAAGAATAGGTGATTAGATGTGCTCCAGTGCTATGTGGGTGAAATCACTAATTTAGTGCCTCTCTGTTTCCAAGTGTGAAGCGCATTTTCACTGTCCAGCTTTGAACTTCAACCTAAATTTTCCATTTATTGTTATTCTAGTGGTTATGTGATCACGATCATAAGAAAGTGTTTAATCCAATGGTGCCAATTTCCTGTAATATAACTCACCTATTATCATATTAGTTATTGGTCAAAGATTGAACTAGTAAAGAATCAGAGGGAATATTACTTCTAAATTGAGGAGGCTTTATGTCCATTTTGTGCAGTTCTTATATAATCGCTCTTCTCTGCTAATTACTGAATGAGATTCAATTTATTTTTCTCCTTCACTCTTTGCTCTTTCCAACCCAAGAATACAAACACGATTGTCAATAGGATTCTCCTTTTCTGCCTAATAAGGAAAGTTGTTGTCATTGAATTCTCCAAGAATAGTTACAGTCCGTCTGTTCCACCCGTTAATCTGGGATCAAATCAAACCCTAGGTGGCAGCAAAACGAGCTGCAGCATTATGACGGCGCTAAATTAACCGGCCAGAGAAAACTATCCTGGTCTGCCGGAGAAAAATATGTCGATTTGGCATTACCTCTAGGTTCCTCGACGGCGACGTGCCTCCGTCACCGCCGATCTAGGCGCCGCCGATGCGCGCGTGCCGGCGTGCGGTTGTCTGCTCTCTTTTTCGTGCGGTTGTCTGTTTTATTTTTATT